CCTACTCCATGTGGTTTGTGGAGCCACCAAGCAAAAGGAAAGCCCAAAGCACCCTGCAAACAAAAGAAGAAAAGCTGGTCTTTCACAGGGATAAAAGGAGGTGTAGTACCTGCCCCTGAAGTGCAAACAGGTTCAGACACCTTCTCTTACTGAGATAAAGAGTGTTTCATATCCAATTCCTCCCACCACCTCCAGCACTAAGGAAGGAAGGATGTGTTGAGAGAAGATTGTACATTTGCATCAGGCACTTTGATGGTACAAACACCTCCATGTGCCCACGTTTGTTAAAGAGGTGACTGAGCAGCAGGTAGGAGTGAAAGTACAGAGCAGGGCTCACCAAACCAAGGTTGTCTTAACACCTGAAAACCTGACTCACAACACACTTAGAGCCAACACGAAGGTGATGGGGATTAAATTCTTCCTTTCCACAAAGACTAATGCAGGCCTAGAACCAGAACAAGTCTGTTTAGGGCAACAATCTCAGGTTACTCTCAAAATGCTTGACAACCCTTACTGCTCCCTTGGATAACTTTCAAAAGTACAAAAAAAATAAAGCAATTTCCAGCTTCTGCTTGAGAGAAGGGATACTTCCTTTCTAGGACTGCCTAAGGAGAGACTGCTGTCTGTCGCAGACATTTTGTTGAATCCTCATCCTTGCCATTGTTTTCCCCTCCTTCCAACACGGGTGTGCCCTCAGCAGGTAGGATCCTTGCAGGCTGTGTACAAACAGGGTCACAGAACACAGATGCCTTCCCAGGACCCCCTCCCAGCAGTGACCCAGGTTTGGGTGCTGACAAACCTCTTCAAATGAGCATTCCCTGTCCAAGAGAGGCACTGAAACCCAATAGGACAACGAGGTGCCCGTGTGCCTGTGCATGCAGGGTGTGCTGGAACAGAGGAGCCACGAGGCAAGAAACCCGCACATTCTTCCTGTCAGCAAGGATTTGGGATGATCCAAGAGAGCAATGCTTGCTCCTATCAGTCTGGAGAGAAAGCCCCTGCAGACGTGTGGGACCCTGCTGACACAAACATGCTGCTGGTGGCCCGGAGGCTGCACAGCCCAGGGACACCCACCCCCTGACCCCACACCAGCAGCCCCAGCTGGCTGTCAGTCCTTTTCATCTGCCTGGCTGGCAGGGTCAGGACATCCCATCTCAGGTCAGGTCTGTGCACTTCCTCAAGCACCTCCTTCCCCACCATCCACCTGGGCAGGTGCTGGTCCCTACCTGGCACCACACAGGAGCAGCCCCCTGGGGCTGCTGTTTTCCCTGGCTGTCACAGACACAGCCCTTGGCCATGCCAGTTGCTGAGCAGGATTCCCAGCCCAAGCCTCACATTATCCTGTGGCTCCCTCCTCACTCCCACCACGCACCAGCTCTTCTCTCTCCTGTCCCTCAAAGCAGGGGATAAATCCCCCTCCTGTGGACTGAGACTGGTTGTTCACTGATTCCAGAGAGCCTGAGCATCTGCAGCAGGCAAATCTCCCGAGGCATTTCACGTCCTGCCATTCCCAACTCGCCACACTACAATTCCCATTAGGGTGCCCCTGCCTCCTCCGCAGGATTTCAGCTGGTGTGGATCCTAAGGGCTCTCAGCAAAACTGTGCCTGCACTGCTGCTGCCAACCCTTCCAGCAACCTCCAATCCTTCTAGAAAAATCTTCTTCCCTCTTTCTTGTGCAGAGCTCCATCTATATCCCTTTTTTTTTTCTGTCCCCAGGCCGAAGGATGTCCTTCCACATTCCTAGCACAAGGAGCAACCTGAAGCCTCATTTCTCTCTTCCTCTCCTCCTATATTTCAAGAAAACTTGGGTTCTCTGTAAAAAAATTATGGATTTGCTTCCATAGCCACACCAAGCTGACAGTTTGATTTTAAGCACAAGGTTCAGCCCCCTTTCTGTTGCCTCTCCTGCTCCCACTGCAGGGCAGAAGGAGGCAAAAGGCAAAGTGCCAACAAAAAAAATAAAAAGGCACTAAACTTGTAACCTGCTCCAGTGGGATGGAACAATCCTGGGCAACCAGAGAGTCCCTGTTGCCAGGGGGAATAGGAGAAGCCCCCCAGCAGCAGCAGCTACAGTCACATCCATCCAACCCAGGAGGCTCCTGGGACTTGACCAACAATTTAGTTTTCCAAAAGTCCATAAAACCAGAGAGCCCTGGGGGCCAGATGGGGGACAGATAAAGCCTACCTGGGGCAGGGGCTAAGGGGAAGAGATGACTCCCTGCCACAAAAATGCAGACAGCTTATCTATCAGACCCCAGGGGTGCCTTCTGGGGGATGTTTTTCCTCCTTTTCCAGGAAGGGAAAGGAGAGGGGAGTGTCTTTAGGCATTGTTAGTTAAGAAATACAGAAAAGACTTACTTTCTGTTGGCCAAACCTACAAGCACTTCTTCCACTGCCCCCTCCAGGTGCTTCCTTGCTGTCACCTGGCCTCTTTTATCCCCTGACATAATGCCAGAGATGGAAGGACATCAGTGCAGATTCCACCCCTCAATGGGGAGAAAAGGCAAGGAAAAGGAATGACATGTGGGATTCTTCATTAAGTCAAGCATTTGACTTCACCACTGCATCCAAGCACTGAACAGGTACATTTTTCTCCTTGGTTTAAATCCAGGGCACTCACACTCACAGGTTTAGTTTTAACAAGGTCTGCTGTGTTATAAGCAGTGTTTTCAGATTTAACACAGGCAGAAACCACGGTACAGCAAGGCATGTTTCCCTCACTTATATGTGACACATCCACAGCTTCCAAAATGCACAGCCCAGTTGCCACTAATGGCACTTGCTCAGTCCCATTTTTTACCAGAGGGCTCCCACAGCAGCTTTCCCATGTTTCTTTGATGGATTTTGTTCCCTGTCCTTCAGTCCCCCAGCTTTTCCACAGCTGGCAGGGCCCAGGCACACGTGCACACAAGACAGTGACTGTCTGCCAGCAGACAAACACAGGGAAGATACTAAGTTCCCTCAGTAAATGACCAGTCTGTGTCTGAAGTCCTGCACCTGGGTCAGGGCAATCCCAGGCACAAACACAGGCTGGAAGGAGAATGGATGGAGAGCAGCCCTGGGGAGAAGGACTTGGGGTGTTGGGGGATGAGAAGCTGGACATGCCCTGGCCCAGAACCCCCCAGTGTCCTGGGCTGATCCCAGAGCAAGGGAGGGGGGATTCTGCTCCTCAGGTGAGACCCCCCTGCAGAGCTGCCTCCAGCCCTGGGGAACAACAGCACAAGGACGTGGAGCTGCTGGAGAGAGTCCAGAGGAGGCCCCGGAGATGCCGCCAGGGCTGGAGCCCCTCTGCTCTGAAGCCAGGCTGGGAGAGCTGGGGGGGTTCACCTGGAGAAGAGAAGGCTCCAGGGAGAGCTGAGAGCCCCTTGCAGGGCCTAAAGGGGCTCCAGGAGAGCTGGAGAGGGACTGGGGACAAGGGATGGAGGGACAGGACAAGGGGGAATGGATTCACATGGACAAAGCACAGGGTTAGATGGGATATTGGGAAGGAATTCCTGGCTGTGAGGGGGGTGAGGCCCTGGCACAGGTTGCCCAGAGAAGCTGTGGCTGCCCCTGGATCCCTGGGAGTGCCCAAGGCCAGGTTGGAGCAACCTGGGCTAGTGGAAGGTGTCCCTGCCCATGGCAGGGGGTGGAAATGGATGATCTTTAAGGTCCTTCCCAGCCAAACCATTCTGGGATTCTATGAACAAGGTGAAAACTGTCTGCAGCCCTCAGACCTGAACCTGCACTCCAGAGCCTGCAGCTCTGTGTTCCCCCCAGATGGCCCAGACAAGCTGCAGTGAGTAATGCAATTAGTGAACCACTAAGTACCTCCACAGTCACATGCTCCAGTGAGTGTCTTCACAGAGCTGTGAATGCCCCACTGCAGCCATGCCAGAGCTTTTAACACTGACATTAATTCATCCTTCACCTGAGACACCAGAAAAAACCACAGCCAAAACAACAAAACAAAAAAAACCACAACCAATAAAGCAAACAAATGAAAACACAACAACAGCAACAAAAAAAAAAAAAAAAAAAAAAAAAAAAAAAAAAAAAAAAAACCC